CTGGGCCCAGGGCCCGGGGGTGGGGAGGGGGACACAGGGTCAGGCTGGGCCAGGGCTCTGGAGAGAGGGCCAAGGTGTAGGGCCAGGACCCCAGGAGTGGGACCAAGTAGCTGGGGCTGTTCCAGGGTTCAGCCTGGGCAGGGGGTCTGGATCCAGGATTGAGGATGGACCTTGGGAAGTGCTGAGTCCCCATCCCTGGAGGGGTTTCCAAGCCCTGGAGATGGTGCTGAGGGACCTGGGGCAGGGGTGGCCTTGGCAGGGTTGGACTGGGTGATCTTCAAGGTCTTTTCCAACCAATATGATTCTATGATTCTCTGCTGGCTCAGGGGGGGTGGTCCAGGCTGGGCTGGGGGCAGGGGGGGATGGATCCCTCACCATGTCCCTGGCTCTTCATCCCCATGTCCAAGGTGTCTGTGTTGCTGGGTATGGACAGGCTGGTGGGAACGAGATCCTGCAGCTGCTCCCACCACCAACCCTTCAGGGGAAGGAGACCCAGGTGGGTGTTGCAGCACCAGGTGGCTCTGTCCTCCTCAGCCTGGTGTCTTCAGAGACTGAGCTGTGGTGGCTTCCCAAGCTGTTACCTGTCTTGCTCTGGCAAGGTTCTGGTCAGGTTTTGAGGAGCTTTGGTTGAAAGGTAAAGCAGGTGAGTCACCTGGCTGCTGTCCTGTTGAGGTGGCACAGGTTGTGCCTTGGAAGCTGCATCTCCAGATGTGTGAATGAAACCATTTCCTAGGGAAATGGGACAGATGAGGACACTAAGGCAAGTGAAGAACTGGCTGAGGTGGCTGAGCTTGGAGCACCACCCTGCTGGGCAGTGAGGTTGTCCCTTGGGTGGGTGTCTCCATCCCTGGAGATGTTCAGAACCTGCCTGTTCCTGTGGGGTCTGCTCTTGGGGATCCTGCTCTAGCAGGGGTTGGGACTAGATGATCTCCAGAGATCCCTTCCAGCCCCCACCACACTGATTCTGTGGCTGAGCTCACACTAAAGCAGAAGGTGCTGTTTGATCACTGGGTAAGCAGAAAGGTCCTGAGCCACAGGATGGCAGAAAACCCAGGTAAGGCTCTTGGCAGGAACTTTCCCCATAGATTTTGTCCTCAAAATACTTTGGGATCCTTCAGTCCTGTAGCTCCTTTTGAAACAGGCATGACTGGGCAGGCAAGAGCTTTACTGGGTGTCTTGTGTCTCTGTCTTCTTCCATGGTCACTGCCCACACCAAGGTGAGCACCATGACATGTGTAGCAATGACTTTGCCTCTGATCTCCAGGGCCTGTGTCCAGAGAGAGACTTCAAGGTGGAATGTGGTGGATTCTCAGCCCGCCCCGTGTACAGCCTGAAACATGTCCCAGACACCAGGTATGGCCCTTCCAGCACCTGCTGGGGATGGACAAGGGGCTTCTCCACTGAGAAGGAGCTGCTTTTCCTTGCCTCCTCCCCATCCCAGCTGGTCAATCCTGTCAGCTCCAAGAGCAGCTTGAGTCTGAGTGGGGGATTTGCTGGTCAGGGACACGTGGTGGTCCTGCCAGACACTGGTGGTGTTTGGAGAGGAGCTGCCTGTTGGGGTGCTCAGCACAGCAGGGTGCACCCCATTGCTGACAGCTGCACTGGTGGCATCTCATGGGGAAGCTGGTGGGGGAAACTGCAGCTGCTGCTGGAGAACCTGAAGCCTCAGCTTCTTCCAGAAGTGATCCCAGGAGCTGCTGACCTGGGTGGTCACCAGGGATCCCTCTTTCTACCCCACTTCTGAGCAACAGGGGCCTGTGTGGCTTCCTTGTTCTGTCTTGTTATATAGTCACAGACTGGTTTGGGTTGGAAAGGACCTGAAGATCATCTATATCCAACCCCTCTGCCATGGGCAGGGACACCTCCCAGCAGCCCAGGCTGCTCCAAGCCCCATCCAACCTGCCCTTCAACACCCCCAGGGATGGGGCAGCCACAGCTTCCCTGGGCAACCTGGGCCAGGCTCTCCCCACCCTCACAGCCCAGAATTTCTCCCTCCCATCTCAGCTCCAGCTCCCTCTGCCAGCTGGAAACCCTTCCCCCTGCTCCCATCCCTCCCTGCCCTTGTCCCAAGCCCCTCCCCAGCTTTCCTGGAGCCCCTGCAGGCACTGGAAGCTGCTCTCAGGTCTCCCTGGAGCCTTCTCTTCTCCAGGCTGAACACCCCAACTCTCCCAGCCTGGCTCCAGAGCTGCTCCAGCCCTCCGAGCATCTCTGGGGCCTCCTCTGGCCTCTCTCCAACAGCTCCATGTCCTTCCTGTGCTGGGACCCCAGAGCTGGACACAGTTTTTCCATCCCTTCTGCATTTGGTGCTACATGGAAGTGCTCAGCAGGCAAAGCCCTGGTGAGGCCACATCTGTAGAACTGGGAAGAACCCAGCACAGGGCACTGGGATGCTGAAGGGACTGGAGCCTGTGAGGAAAGGCTGGGAGAGCTGGGGCTGCTCAGCTGGGAGAAAAGGAGGCTGAGGGGGGATCTGATCAGGGCTTGTCAATATCTCCAGGGGGGTCAGGAGGTGGGGCCAGACTCTGCTCAGGGGTGCCCAGTGACAGGACAGGGGGCAATGGGCACAAACTGGAGCACAGGAGGTTTGACCTGAATGGGAGAAAATAGTTCTTGCCTGTGAGGGTGGCAGAGCCCTGGGACAGGCTGCCCAGGGAGGCTGTGGAGTCTCCATCCCTGGGGACATTCCAACCCCACCTGGATGTGTTCCTGTGGGATCTGCTCTGGGGGATCCTGCTCTAGGAGGGGGGTTGGACTGGGTGATCTCCAGAGGTCCCTTCACCCCCACCCCTCTGTCACTCCCTCAAGCAGGACACCAGTGGCTTCTGCCACCCCTGTGGAGGTCCTGGTGGGTGCAGCTTGGGATGGTTTTTTCCTGCTGTGGTTTGTGGACCAAACAAACCTGCTTCCCCAGCTGAGTCATTTCACTCCCTCAGCTCCCTCCTCCTCCACCAGCCCCTGTGCTACTTTGAGGGCTCTTTGCACTGTTCTTTGTCTCACACTTCAGGAAGATGTGCTAAAAAAATGCCAGTGCCTGGGCTGTGCAGAGCACCCTGGCCCCAGGAGCTCTGGAATCACAGCCCTTCTGGCCCCTTCTCTGCTCTGAGCTGAGATCTCCTGGGCACAGGGTGATCCCAACCCAGAGTTAAAAAAAAAAAAAAAGGCTTTTATCTGCTCCTGAAGAGTTTTGTGGGATTATTTTTTGTTTCCTCAGCTTGCTGGTGACCAGTGGCCCACCAGACAGCTCCCTGCAGGTCTGGCAGGTGTCAGCAGAGGACTCTGGTAAGGGAAGATGTTTCTGGGCTTGAAGGAGTTTCATCATGTAGTCTTTGCATCAGGCATCTCCAGCTTCCTCTTCTTCCTGGGTGTAAAAAGAGGAGGGCCAGTCCCACCAGTGACACCCTGAGTGGCTTCCCATTTGTGGCAGGGGCTGGAGAAGGACAGGAGATAAATGTGTACAGTAATTTGGTGGTTGGGAAAGAAACAGAGTTGCCAGCTCCCTGCACAGCTGGGAATGGGGAGCCTCCCTGGCACAGGTTCAGGCAGCAGAGCAGCCCCCTGGGGCCTCCAGCCTGGCACAGTGGAGTCACCAGAGAAGGGAGCAGGATCACAGGCTCACAGGATGGTGAAGGCTGGAAAGGACCTTAAAGATCATCAGGTTCCACCCCCCCTGCCATGGGCAGGGACACCTC